AGGAGAGATTAACCAAAGAATTTATATGCATATATGCATAACCCAAGGACACAGACAATAGTGTAGTGAGGGACTGGGGTGGAGGGGGTCAATGGGGAGAAAAAGGGATGTATGTAATATTTTGAACAATAAAAATAAAATAAATAAATAAATAAAGTCAATGAAAAATACAACTAAGTTGCTTTAAAATCATCAGATTAAAAATGTTCTATAAATTTTACATCTTCTACATCTTAAAACATTTTAAAAGGGATTTACTACAGCCTTTAAAAATTAAAATGTATCACAGGAAGTGAAATTCTTTTATGTTATGACACATGCTTTCAGTACACAGGGTTTAGAGTAATAACATTTTAAAACACTGTTTGGCCAAAAGTAGCATGAATTTAACCAGGCTTGAATAATTTTTGATTCTGGTTGACAACAAATGAGCAATTTTAACTCAATACTTAATAACTGAACCCAAAGACATGCTCAGCAAGAACCACAAGCAAAATAAGACCTGGGAGTGCCGTCATTAATAAACAACACCCTTGTAGAAGAGAGAAGAGACATTTGGGGCAACCAGAGAAAGAAAGAAGTTTCCACTTAGTAACGTGCCACACTGATGCGTCTCACCTAATACTTGTTTAATCAAAGAATGGGCGGCTATTCTCATAAAATAAAGAACTAAATTGCAGGGGAAATGGGATAAGTAATATCATGCTAATGTATTTTGTAGATGATGATTTCGAGTTAGCAACATGAATCCCAGCTGGTATGCTGTGCGGTGCTCTGAGACCCAGGTGGGGTCTGAGGGAGCCCTGGAGGGCAAACAAAGAATCAAGAGATTAGAGAAAAGATGGGAAAACAGTGGACGCCAACCACTGGGTAACAGTCGCAATATTCACAGGGTACAAATAAAATACACCTTTCTGCTACCCATCCATCAGCCACCACTTCTTAGCACTCGGTTAGACTCATACTGCTTCTTGCCAAACACATGCTTTCTGACTAACACGCTCACTATGCAAATGTTCTCGCCCACCTCCCACCACGATGGTCTAAATTCTTCAAGGACAGAGACCAATTGTTCCTTGAACTGTTTTTATGGTACCTAATGAATAAATGAAGTATGAATAAATTAAGGTTTTATTACAAAGTCCTGGAAGTTAAGGAAAACATCCTTAATTCTAAGACTCAGTTTCTTCATTTGTATGATGAGGGGGGTTGAAAAAGAGGATAGTCCAGGATTTTATGATACTCGCATCAATATCAACAAGAAAATAGGTTACTATCCTTAGTGGTGTGATACATTAAGGAATTTAAAAGACTTTTTTAAGGATATAAATATCCCATTTGAGGAATAAGAAACATCTGTATGCTGAGGATGAACACAACTGAGAGAGTTTGAAATATTGGTGTGGAATTTTTATTGGGAACAGAAAACAAAAATCTCCATGAGACATCAGAGTGCATCTCAGGGAGTATTTGGTAACTTTTAATCAAAACACATTTTATATTTTGTTTATTTAGGAAAGTCTCTTTTTTTAGTTCCTGACTTCAACAGCTGTTTCAAAATAATAAATATCTCTTTCCCAGTCTGAAATGGCGCTGGAGGCCACAGTATCTAGTATATGTATCCGTATTTGTGTGTGTACATTATTTGTTATTATGCATGGCAAAGTCTTAGTTTAGAGGTACAATGATTCATTTCCTATTGCTCAAAAAGTAGAAATTCTAAACATAAGGCATTTTTAATGAATAAAACCACAGACTTCTCTGAGAAGGCCCTAGCAATTATATTTCAAGTTTCCTGAGGGAGAAAACCACATTTAAAATACTGAGAAGGTCAGAGAGCAGTCTCACACCTCCAGGATGTCCTTTGTAAGACAAGATCCTTGGGGCCTCAGTTTGAAGAGATTATAGACTCCAAAAAGCTCTCCTCGGTGCTCTTTTGATCCTTGAACTGCTTCAAAATATCGCTTGGCATTTTCACTTCCAACCACCACACATTGAAGTTGCTAAAACAGAAAAAACACAAGATATTTTTGAAGTGTTTGCTCCAACAATATGTCAGAATTTCCTGGCATTCCATGTATATACACAGCTTTAGCTGGAGAGGCAGATTCTCTTTGGGGAGGAAATTTTATTTTAATTTCCCTAGCAGATGTTGCCATTATGGTGAAATAATAATAATCTGGCCAATCTTATTGAAGAAGAGATCTTATATTTCCTATTTCATCTGTTTCCCAGATAAAATAGGAAATATAAGATCAGCTTAACCAGTTCAATATCAATGGGCTATCCACCTGACATAAAATCTTTAATACAGGCATACATTTGGATTCACTTTTCTCCTTTCTAGATTCTTACTACCATAGGAACTACTAAAACTGGTAGAAATAATCACTACATTACCAAAGTTAAATTATAATCTGAAGTAATTATGTAATAACCATATTGGTGTCAAACTAACTGTGGCCATGGTTACATTGTCAACTAACAGCAATAATCCATTTACTGTTTAGAAACATTGCATCTTTGAAACAATTGTGAATATAGAAAGAACACTGAGATGGAACCCTTAAGGACATATGCCACTTCTGTATCAATATTACTGTGTCTCTCTATTTACTGGCTATTTTACTAAATGTAATATAAATACAATCTGATTAACCCTTGTATACTTTAAAATTTCTTGGAAGAAACAAAGAATGTACAGAATTAAAACAACTTTAGTCTATTGTGGATAGAAGGATTAATAAGAAATCACACGTTATTGTGATTATTATCAGCTGATTTGCACTGTAATAAGTTACTCTAGGCAACTACAATTATTCTTAATAATAGCTATTTATAAAACACTTACTACATGTGTAGCATTTTTACATTCTCTCATTTAACCCCTTCCAACCCTGTAAGACATTATCTCCCTTTCAGAAAAAAAGACACTGGAGTTGCTGGGAAGTGTCATTTCTGGAATTTACCTGGGTTGGGCTTAATCCAAAATTTATACTTGTAATAAATAATTTTTCATTTCAGGATGTTCCTCTTAAAACAAGACTCTTGGGACCTTACTTTGAAGAAGCTGGATCAGCATGTCAGCTTAACCAGTTCAGTGTCAATGTCCCAGAAACGCGGGCTGCAGCTCTGGGAACAGAGTCACAGCAGCAGCTGACGACCCGATGGCACAGCGGCCTGATGGCTGTCCCCTGCTGCTGCCCTGGCCCTGCCCGCTGCCTGGCAGACTGCGGTACGGCTAAATATCGTTACCCAAGTAATCTGTAAGCATGAAATGTGAATCTTTATAAGTTTTATACCAAAGTTTTATTACAAAAACTTATAAAAGGCACATTATTTTGTACTTAAAACGAGTTTTCCAAAGTGGTTCCAGTAAAAGTGAAGGTCAGATGCCTCCATCTGTAGGCTAACTATACATATTTTTAAAATCTTATTAGAATTCAAGAGGGTAAGGGAAAAAAACAGTAATTGGAAAAATGTAACTTAGTTTCTAGCTTGAGAAAAACTACACAAGGCAACAAAATGCTTGGATTTCTCCACCACAATATACAAGACATGCAAGAAGAAAAAAGAAAAGGACTTTCTTCTTGGTTTCAGCAAAAAGCTGGAGCTCTGTCTTGCTTCTTTGCTCTCAGAATTTCTAATTATTGTTCCTCCTGGGAGCAGACTTGGTACAATGGGATAACACTGTAAGGGTTAAACCGCCTTGTGCGGTCAGCGGTGACACCCCAAAGAGCAGGCACCACAGTCACCCCCACGCGCCCTTACTTTTGTAGAGCCTGGTAACTCTGAGCTTGGCCTACCCAGAAGTTACACCTACTCTTTTCAGTAGCCTTTTCCTCACTGAGTTTAGTTTAGTTTCTTCCTCTAATCTGATCCCAAATGCTTTTTTTCCAGGGTTCCTTATAATTTCTGGACAACAGAGAAAACTCTCCTTGCTTTCCAACATTTTTACAGGGTTTTGTTTTGTTTTTCCTAAAGGCCATTTTTGGATGTTTATTTTCCCCACATGATCTGAGAAACACTTGGGAGGCTAGAGTGCATATGACATACGGACCTGTGGCTCAAGGTCCAGTCGCATTTAATTTCCTCACTGGATTGCCATCTGATCCTTATTCGTGCACCAAGTTGTATGGCCCAATCTTCCCCCAGTGGCTCACATTTCAAAACTATTTCAATAAGTAACTAGATCCTACAAAGTTCTGAAAATGTCAATTAGCCCCATCTTCTGAAGCCTTTTGTGACATATTATATAATACACGTTGTATAACAGGCCATCACATGCAGACTCACAGCAGCAAGGACACGAAGCAGTCTCTCCTGTCCTATTACCCATCACGGCGCTACTTTCCACACGCGCAACTATACACCTACTTCTGCCCACCCCTCGTACATGCAGTGATGTGGCTGAGAAAAATTACATGACAGAGGAAAGACTCTTACTCGTGATAGGTTAAGATATCATTCTGAAGAACTGCTCCTAAGTTGAAAAAGTAATATCCTACTTTTTCCCAAGATTGATTAAACATGCCTAAAAAAATAATTTTTAAGTAGTTGTGCTGTACCAAGGAACAAAAAGATGAAAGACTTCTTATAGAGCTAAATGCTTTAAGAGAAAACAAAAACTGCTGTATACAATTCTATTTTTAGAATTAAGAAAACAGCATTAATTTAAGATTGGATCATTCTTAGGTTAACTACCACCACATGTGGCAGACGTTTGCTCTTAAGGAGATGCCAACTCAATATACAGGGGGTAATTCAAATTAACATTTATAATCAAACTTGAACCTCATTACAGATCTTCTCAAGTCAGCAGTTATAAACTAAATAAACTTTGTTTATTTAGAGGCATAAATGGAAAGTAACTGATACCCTCAGGATATTAAAGAGTTAATGCAATTTTAGATAAACACTAAAAGCACCAGCACAGTAGTTAGGGCCCTGAGCTTGAGCCCTGTAATCCTATTTGCTGGTGGCTCTGGGTCCCAGCTTCATTACATACAACATGAAACAGCAGCATTAGCTATCTCGAAGGCATTTCTCTCACTCTTCTTCATGGCAAGGCACATACTGAAAATGGTAACATAAGTATCATATGAACATCTACCTGGAATAAACAGGCTGTTACTCAAGGCTGGAAGCAGGCTCTGACCATCTTGCGGCTCAGAGCTGTGGGGTCTGTGCCTCAGTGCACCTGTGTCCCGTCTGTGGCACGCCATTACGCCTTGGCCCCCAGTTTGGGAAACTGTGACCTCGCTACTCTAATTGTGACCTAAAGACTAGCAGTGTTGGCACTCTAGTTAAAAATGCAGAATCTTGGGCTCCACTCAGAACTACTACATCAGAATCTGTGTTTTAAAGATTCCCTAGTTGATTTATGTGCACATTAACGTCTAAGAAGTACTGCTCAAGAAACTTGCGGCTCTAAAAGTCAATGAACTTAAGAATCTGTTTAAAGAAGTATATTCTAGAGTATATTTCATAATCTTATTAAATGTCATATTACAGTTAGAATAAAATTAAAAACATATTTTTACACATATTTGTTCCTAACTTTGGAAAACAGGCCAATGTTTACTTTTTAATTAGAAGAGAAATGTATTTACCTGCTTGTATACCTGCCGTAGGTACATGATCTCCTCCACAGTTCCCAAGGATATCAGCCTAAACACTTTCACATCCCTGCACTGCCCAATCCTATACGCTCTGCAAAAAGATGAAAAACAAAAGCAGACAAAAATCAGGCGAAGCAACTTTGGTTCAGGCAATATCTTTTGGACATAAAAATGAAACATTAATAAAATGTTAATTACTTTAAAAGGAAACATTTTCTGTTTAGATATGCTATACTATTTAATAAGAATGCAACAGAAATCCATAGAAAAAGACCAGTCATGGAAGAGAAACGTATTGTAGGAAAATGTACATATCAAGTTCATTTCTGTTATAAACATCACCTTCTTTGGTCCAAAAACTTTTCTTAAATTCAGATTTTTCTTTTATAGTGGTCTCAAGCGGAAGCTTATGCATATTCCCAAATGATTCCATTTATGTAAAACTCTCAAAAATGCAAACTAATCCATAGTGATAGAAAACAGATCAGTGGTTGCTCGGGAACAGGGACTTCGGGAAGGGCAGGAGAGATGGATTATAAAGTAGAACAAGGAGAATTTGGAGGATACTGGATACAGTCACTACTTTTTATTGTGGTGGTGGTTTCACAGTTGTATGCATATATCAAAACTTATTCATTGTACACTTTAAACATGCTGTTTATTGTGTATTAATTATCTCAATGAAACTGGGTTTTTTTTTGTTTGTTTTAAAACCTGGGAAAAGCAGTTATTCAGCTAGGAAGCCTATGGAAGTCAGATTTGTGGTCCTCACCCACAGAGATTTCCAGGGGTCTGACTGAGCCACTCAGCTGACTAGTACCCCAGGTGTCTTGGTAGGAGCCACGGTGCTAATTAACACTTAAACTGATTCACGACACTAGTTAGCTATGGCTCTAGCCCCCGCAGGATCTTCCAGGTGGAGGCTTTATTAGCTGCTCTGAATGAGGTCACCTGCTTCTCAATACCTGTTACAGTCACCAGGGGGGTCGAGGGCACGGCCATACTGCCTCATGCCTGAAAATGTTACAATTTGGGGGCATTTAATTTTGACCTTGTAAAGTCACTGTATGTTGTTATACTGTAGTTGGTGCTCCTTCTGCCTCCTTCCCCCACTCCTCACAGAGAAGGGCTTTGCAAGAGGGCATCATGGGGTTCGAAAAATCTTATACCGCCACAGGGGATGGGGGCCCCCGTGACACAGCACAGACAGGGGTAAGTTACTGCACTGCCACTTCCATCTGCAGCCTCAGTATAGTGGGGCTCATAATCCCTTTCTCTCCCATAGTGGGTTTGGGGTCTAAAAGAAATTAAAAATGGATTTAAGGAAAGTCTTTTGGGTATATGGCCATCAAATTGTTTTGTGAGAGGGATAGACAGAATACATATTCTTTAATTTTTAAAGACAAAAACCTTATTTGCATGTTACTTTGGATTGGTGCTTCATTTTCTCATATACATAAAGCAAGGACATGTTATATGATGGGTCACTGACCGCGTAGGGACATGTGTCGTGAAACTGTTACATAGTATGGAGATCAAGAGCTTCCTTTTCGTGGTTCCTCCGAACAGTCAACAAAAGGGGAGGGAGGAGAAGAGGAACGCTGTTAGTTTAGTTTTACTGTCCACGAACTGTCGCTGAGTACCACAGCACTGTGATTAGGGGAATGCTGGGGTAAATAAGAAACCAGGTCTTGATGGCCTAGATAAAAAAGAACAAAATTACAACTAGTATCATAAGACAAAGAAAAAGATTTTTCTGTGGTTTTCATCTGACCTTTTACTTGGCAGCTGTCAGTGGCAAGAGGCTGATTAAGCACGTAGGCCCTGCAGTGAGACTGGGTGGACTCGGATCCTGGCCCTGCCAGTGACTGGCTGTGAACTTGAGCAAATCGCTTAAGTTAATTTTCTGCTTTTATTTTAATAACTTAGTAACTTATGCAGCTTCCTCACACGTGAAATGAGTGTGATGATAGTGCCTATCCAATAAGGATGTTCTAAGTATTGAGTGAGATAGTTGATGGAAAGCACTTAGGACAGTTCCTGGCTCACAGACATGCAGTCAGTGTTGCTGTTATTCCGTTGTTCTTGTTTTTACTGCCAACTAAAGAACCGAGGCTAATTTGCTTTGCTTTGTACCCAGCACAGTATTATGTGTATTATAACCGGGGTGATCTTAATAACACAGTGTATTATAAGCTGAATGGTATCTATCAAGCAAATAGTAATAGATAATTTTAATTTCTATAAGGACAAAATAAATCCATATCTGATTTTCTTTAACTGACATATATATATATATATATATATATATATAT